AATGTTATAGAGATACCTGAAATGTCTTTTCGGGAGATTGTTTGGGCACAGAACAACTCCAATCGTTATCTCTTTCCTTCTAATCCTTTTCATGCGGAGACTGCTAGCTGTCATCACACCTGTTTTCTTAAAACTACCTTATTAATTGCTTTATTTTAATCAAGCGAAACATCATTTCCCAAAATGTTTACATTTTAAATTAAAAGAGAAAAAAAATGAAGAAAACCAGGAAAGTATTTAGAATTTACTAATGCCACTTCCGCAATGTAATGACAATGCCGTTTGTTTTCTTAGCATAAAAACTGGTTTTATAGATGTCAACAGTATACTATACGGCCAATGTTAGTATTTCTTCTCGCTTCTTGTATGAGTTCACTCAATTGTAGGATGTAAAAAGTAATCATCACTTAAACTTTCAAATTTTTTATATTCGCACCTCCTGAAAAACTCTCAACTGAAATTACTCATACTCTCCTATTTTCTTTCTACGTTTATGAAGTAGATATACTTTACTAATCAATAATTTACTTTTGCACTAAGCTTAAATATGGTCAAATAGGCGCAAAATGGGTGTTGCATTTCCGCTCAGGAAACTAAATAAATATAAGTGCAAATAATTTAGGTGTTTGAGCTTAGAGCTTATAGGTCTAACTTTGTTACAGCAATCAACTAACAAATTTATGCCACTTACAGTTGGATAAGTACAGTGAATTCGGCTTTTTTCGAAAAATGTGATAGATTCTATTTCTCTATTGTCATAAAAGAAAATAAGAATTTCTTTTGAGTCACCGAACTTATCAACATTTAAACAATATACAAAAAAAAATAGAAACACCGTATGAAATTTTTGCTTTAAGGCATAACATAACTGCGATGAGACTTTGGCCAAACATTGGAATTTTGTGCAACGACACTCCAGTCAACCAAAGAATTGCTAAGAGAATTTTAACTTCAGGGGCGTTTGTACAATTCAGATGGAACTTTTGCATTCAAAAGAATTTATAGTCTATCTTGGTATATGCATGAATGTCAGTTCCTCATTACAACAGCGAAAAATTGATGATTCTATGCGGACACGCCTAACTACAATTGAAACCATCGTCTACACTCTAGAAAGTAATAAAATTGCAAGATTTTGATAAAAGACGTGACCGCGCGCACCTGCTTTCAAACTTTGTTCTTCAAAGGTGTCATAAATCCTCAACCATTAACTTTAACTTAGCTTTAACAAACTAAAATCCTTTCCCTCTTATTATGAGTTTAGCTAGATCACTTAGTTAGTCATCAAGA